CAGCAATTTTGTAAATTGTGTATAACATGTGGAAGACGTATGTCCACTTTTCAAACTAATGATACACATTATCACATCATTAAAAAAAGAATTCTAAATTGTACAAGTAGGAGTATCAAACAGTTGAGTACCGAGTAAGGTTTCGAAAGAAGATGCATTTGTATTCTTCACAAATAGTGATTGAGTTCCATTTATGGGAAAACAAGTCTTATTTTAAAAGTGCAAACTGAAAATGATGTAATTGGTAACAATGAAAGTACATACAAGCTATTTAATCCCATGTTTTCAAAATGTTTAAGCGATGTTACTAAACTAACATCCAAGTTACAATTATTGCAAGAATAATTTATAAACAAATAGAGTAATGGCGTTTCTCATTACGAAAAATTAATATTTATATGTTATAGCTGTAAAAATGGCTCTTAAATTGTGACGAATTAATTACAGTCATTTAAGTGTTGATGCGAAATTCCAATTATAACTGTAATTTAGTGCAGACAAAAAAACAGACAAAACTAACGTGTATGGAAATTCCATGCGTTTGAAGGTGAAGGTTGACATTTTACATCCTATTTGAACGTAAGCTCTAATTGACCAGAATTGCAGAAGTTTGTTTATTTAATCCACATACCTACTTATCGTTAATTTTTTTTTAGTAGCAGACATAAACACGTAGTTGAGACCACGCGAATGCCATAATTATTAATACACTACTAGGGATATAACTTATTAATTAATTGATCTAACATGTGAAGATTAATTTAATTTCAAAATGTCAAAATGTTAATTAATAATAATTGGAATGAATTTATTTTAAAATCTTATTATTTTCATTTTTCTTATTACACTATTTATTATTTACTATGACTATACACAGTGCGCCAGAACTCGCACCCCAGAGAAAAATGCCATATAAGGTAAGATACCAGGAACATGAAAAAAATGTTAAAAAAAATATTTATAAAAATTTCGAAGGAATGAGAGTTTAAATTTTGCACTTTGACACTATTTATTTCTGTTGAAAAAATAATTTTCCAAGTTTTTTTTGCTACAGGCTACAGAGGAAACAAGAAAGCTGTATCGTAAATTGTAACTTTTTTCAATGTTATTTGTGTTTTTATTGGCAAAATTTTTGTACTTTTACTAAATAATTTTAAAAAAACATATACAAGGTGACAGATAGAATTTTTTAAACATTTTTTTCCATATTTCTGGTTCCTTATTTCACTTAAAATCTTTCTCTGAGGTGCGAGTTCTGGCGCACCCTGTATTATACAGAGTGTACCACCGATTTGGTAAAATCCTATTAAATGTTAAAATTTTCAAAAAATTATGCAGGAAATTGATAGATACTAGTACTAAACTAAACAAAGTCGACCAATAAAAGTTTACCTTTTAAAAACACTACATTCAAAAATGCCAAGTAACATATGGCGTTTCATTACAAAAACATAAGCAATACAATTGTAACTTATTTTTGGGACACGCTGTATAGTGAAAATGATTTCAGATGATTAACTAGATTAGTATCTATCAATTTCCTATATGTATATACAGGGCGATTCAGATAAGGTATGAACCTGACGATCTGGCAATGCAACCCAAAAAACAAATTTCATTTACGCCTTTGATCTAATTTAAATTAGGATTTGCAAGTTGAATACAAGTTATCATCTTAATATGTCACTCGTAGGGAACGATCATTAGAGCTATTCAGTCTCGTGGAATGATAGAGACAGTCTTTTCGGTGGGAACACAATACAATATGTATGAAAGAATTAAACATTAAAGGTAGGCAAACAGTTTTTTTATAAATCATAAATTGCTTGTCAAAGCACTGTCAGAGCAACATAAGATAACTTGGATTGCAAATGCAAATAATAATTAAAATTAGATCAAGACATAAATGAAATATGTTTTTTGGGTTGCATCGTCAGAACGTCGGGCTCATTATCTTTTCTGAATCACCCTGTATTTTTTCAAATTTTCGCACTTAAAAGTCAATAATGGACTTTACCAATTCACTGGGTATATTATATAGGGTGTATCAAAAAGGTATCACCAAAGAGAAATAAAAATTAACGAATTTTTAGTTATTGGGAATTCTTAAATGTGTAACACCTGCTTGAAGTCCATTGAAAGACCTGGCAATAAATAATAATAAATCTTTAAAAGAACAGCAAAAATAATTTCATTTTACAATTTATAAAATTGCTCTAAGTAAAAATTTACAAAATTTTGACGCTCAACTATGAGAAAACTAATAAAATTATTTTTTAATGAAATAGAAAATCGAGCTTCATGCATCCAACATATGGCAACATTATTACGTTGCCATGTTACCAAAGAAACAAATAGTACTTTATGAATTTGTCATAATTTGACAATTTCTTGAAAATAAAAAAACTAACACTAAAAACTAAGACTAATTTCTAACATAATTTTAGTTTTGAAAAATCAAGTAGGTATGTCTTAGAAATTCTCAAAAAACCTATTTTTTGTAAAGTGCCTTTGTGTGGCAAATACGACAAAAATTTATTAAGAAAAGTTGTTTAGAATCAACATCCAGGCCAGAATACCAAATTTCAAAATCATCGGTCAACTGTAATTTTTAATTTTTTTATGTTTATTAATTCACAAATCACAGTCCATTTATTAAGAATAAAAAAAGTTACATTTAGAATATTAGTACTAAATACATTTTTGACGTTTCTGTTAATAAAAAGGAATTATCTTAAAAAATATGAAAAATCGTAGTTGCCAGATGATTTTGAAATTTATTGATATCGGAGCCTAAATGTTGATTCTGAACAACTTTTCTTAATGTTTTTTGCCATGTATGCCACACTTTTGTATAATATGTTTTATATACAGGGTGCGTCAGAACTCGCGCCCTAGAGAAAAATTTCAAGTAAGATAAGATAATTACGGAAAAAATGTTTAAAAAAATTTATCTGTGAAAAAATTTTGACATTTATTTTTTGACATTTGACATTTCTTTATATCTATTTAAGGATACTGACCATCTTGTATCAGAACTCGCGCCCCAGAGAAAAATGCAATATAAGGTAAGATTCCAGGAACATGGAAAAAATGTTAAAAAAATTTTATCTATGAAAATTTCGAAGTTATGAGGGTTTAAAGTTTGTACTTTGACTCTATTTATTTCTGTTGAAAAAATAACTTTCCAAGTTTATTTGCTATAGGCTATTAAAAGAAGAAATAAGAAAGCTGTATCCCAAATTGTAAGTTTGTTCAATGTTATTTGTGGTTTTTATTGGCAAAATTTTTGTCCTTTTACTAAATAATCGTAAAAAAACATACAAGATCATCAGTATCATTAAATAAAAATAAAAAATATCAAATGTCAAAAAATAAATGTCAAAAATTTTTGACAGATAGAATTTTTTAAACATTTTTTTCATGTTCCTGGCATCTTACCTTACTTGAAAATTTTCTCTGGGGCGCGAGTTCTGGCGCAGCCTGTATGTTTTTTTTACAATTGTTTAGTAAAGGGACAAAAATTTTGCCAATAAAAGTTACAAATAACATTGAACAGAATTACAATTTAGGATATAGGTTCCTTGTTGTTAATAGCCTATAGCAAAAAAACTTGGAAAATTATTTTTCCAACAGAGTTGGAACAGAGACAGAGAGTCAAAGTGCAAACTTTGAACCCTCATATCTTCGAAATTTTAATAGATAAAACTTTTTTAACATTTTTTCCATGTTCCTGGGATCTTACCTTATACAGGGTGTTTCACATAACTTTACGAGGTTTGCGCCTAATATACGCATCCAAATATACAAAAGTCACAGAACACTGGATACAAAAAATACAAATTTAATTATTTAATTTTTGGAAACTCATGACAGTAGTTGTCAAACTAATCATTGTTTCATTAATAGTCATAAACTGCAGTTTTTCAGAAACAATTATCATTTATTCTATCAAGAGACGGCATGAATATGATTGTAGTTTATCTATCTTAATCACTAACTAACTAAAAACGTTGTAATTTTTTAAAGGGTGAACAAACTAGAGAAGATTATTCAATTTTTCAAAATTTGTAATCGAGTTCGTATCGGAATATATATTATTGATTGCATCTTACAGGCGCAGGCCTCGTAAAATTACGTGAAACACCCTGTATAATGTTTTTTTTTTTTCAAAAAATTATGTTAGAAATTGGTTTTCAACCAAGCAGGGCCGAATCCCAAAAAATAAAAATTTAAAATTTTTGATCTTTTACAAGAGTCGTTTCACTTATCCGGGGAGAGCTTTTTAAATCTGTTTAAACTTCAAAGTATTTGAATTAATTTAAAATTCCGAATTTCCCAAAAATTACATTCGTTAAACTTTTTGTTTTATTAATTTCAGGATCGATATGTTTGATTTTTTGTTCAAATAGTTACGGAAAAGTAAACATCACATGCTAATAGAAATGTAATTTAAAAATTAGTCTCTAAACTGTCTTGAAAATTGCTGTAATTAATAGTAATAATAGATATCAGTTTTGACAGTTATAACACATGCAGACTGCTATGATGCAGTAAATTTTCTTTACAAGTGATAGATAATAAAAAGTGCAGCAGGTGCAAACATAAACGTGTTTGTAAAAATGTCAGTAGCAGGGATATAATTGCTACAATTATTATTATTGGTTATATGATATATCTATATTAAAAAATTTAATAAACATTCTATATAAAACCTTTGACGTCAATTTCACTGTTATAAGCATTCTATTTTGGTGTTTTGGGGTTTTGGCACAATTAACATTTATTAATTATGTCTACACCTCTTGGGCTGCAATATCGAAAATATCACTACAGGAACTTGAACTTAAAACGTTTTAAAAATATTTTGGATATAAATAAATTAACAAAAATTAATTCTGAAAAATACACGAAATAAATTTTGTTATAATTTAGAAAGTTGGGACCCAAACGACAGTGGTCAAAACATCTGAGAAAGAACTTTTTTCTGTAAAACTTACCTCTTCTTTGAGTGTGATATTTCAGGCACTGTTTTTGATATCGTAATTTCCTAATAATATAAAGAAATTTGAAATGAAATTAACACCCGCGGTTATTTAAATGTATTGTTATGTTTATAGTAAAACATCAGAATGCGTACACTTCCACCGCCATCTCTGTCACAACTGTTTTGTTTAGAACTACTGTACGACTAGCGCACCAACAGTACTGGCGCACTGACGATGACGGGTTCTGTGGTAGAAGAGATTTTCGCTCAATCAATATAAAGAAGCGGGAGATTTAAAAATGTTTATAGACAAGTAGGTTAAAATGGTTACGGAAGATTTTATTTCCTCTTTTTTATTTATTTTTTTATTTACTCTTTCTAATGAAAGCCATGCAATTTTTCTATTATGATATCATCCTTTCCAAAAAAAAATAATAACTAGACAAAAATGCGTCAAATTAAAAAACATCTATGTACTTTCTACTTTAATAGTCCATAGTTCTATGGCAAACAAAATATAACAGTTTTTTATTTTTTTTTACTACACTAACATTCAATCATTCATTTACAGGGTGTTTCACACAATTTTACGAGGCTTGCGCCTAATGTACGCACCCAAATATACAAAAGGCACAAAACACTAGATTCAAAAAATACACATTTAATTATTTAATTTCTGGAAACCTATGACAGTTGTCAAACTAATCACTGTGTCATTAATAGTCATAAACTGTAGATTTTCAGAAACAATTATTATTTGTTCTATCAAGAGACGTCATGAATATGATTGTAGTTTATCTATCTTAATCACTAACTAACTCAAAATGTTGTAATTTTTGAAAGGGTGAACAAACTAGAGAAGATTATCCAATTTTTCAAAATTTGTAATCGAGTTCGTATTGGAATATGTATTATTGATTGCATCTTACAGGCGCAGACCTCGTTAAAATACGTGAAACACCCTGTATTTTGTTCCAAGACCAAGAGCCATATTGTCTCTCCTTCCTCTACACATCATTTTAAACGTTGCAAAAAGTTCATTTCTTCAAGTTTCTGAAGTTTTTTGCGAGAAAAAATTTTGTTTAAGAACCAAAAATTGTTAAACCAATTTGAAATAAAAGATTTAATGATGGAAAATCGTTCTGCAGTTTAAGCTGCAACATACAGAACACAATTAGATATGTACTATCACAAATTGAAACACAAGAATTATCTGAAAAATTAATGAAACATACTTTCAACTTTATTTTACCGTTTTATAATTAATTTATAAGTTTGTTCTACAACTAACTAAAAAAATAAATAGCACTAACATAATAAAAACTATACTGTTGAAAATTTATTTATTTTCTTCGTCATACGTTGGCGCTTCACCGGATTCACTGCTAGAGAACACAATGCTGTAAAGTATAGCAGCCACAAGGGCACCTGTTAATTGACCAACCCAGTATGCCTAAAAATAATGTATTAAATTAAAAAATATTTAGTTATCCCGTATTGTAGAAATTAGTCGGTCAAGACCCTTTTTCCTTACCAAGATTTAAATATGAAAATATTAATGATTTTTTGATTTAGGAATACATACATAATTAATTCGTTTCGGCCGTCCCACCAAACTCATAAAATTGCAATTTTGTTAATGAATGCAGTGGGATGATAAAAGAAAACATCTCTGTGATTTTATTTTCAAAGCAATAAGCTATAAAAATATTGCAAACATAAATAAATACATAATAATTAAAACAAATCAGAGAGAGCTAAGAGTAAAAGTGTAAATAATCAAAAGGTTGTAAAAACCGAGAAATATTTTTTTATAGTAAGTATTAATTTTTTAACGTTTTATTTTTTATTTCCAAAATGATTTTACATTTTAGTCAGGAAAACTTCTGTAAAATGTTCATAAACAATTAACAGTTTGATTCAAAGTGATGATAAGTGAGTTTCCGAGTAAAATTTTTCCGGAAACATTTAAGAAAACCGTTTGCCAATAATCGAATATTTAAGGGTTAACTACAGGGTGCGCCAGAACTCGCGCCCCTGAGAAAAATGCCATATATAAGGTAAGATACCAGGAACATAGAAAAAATGTTAAAAAAATTTTATCTATAAAAATTTCCAAGTTATGAGGGTTTAAAGTTTGCACTTTGACTCTATTTATTTCTGTTGGAAAAATAATTTTCCAAGTTTTTTGCTGTAGGCTATTAAAAGAGGAAACAAGGAAGCTGTATCCTAAATTGGAACTCTGTTCAATGGTATTTGTGGCTTTTATTGGCAAAATTGCCCTTTACTAAATAATTTACTAAAAAAACATATACAATATGATCAGTATCATTAAATCGATATAAAAAAATATCAAATATCAAAAAATAAATGTTAAAATTTTATGACAGATAGAATTTTTTAAACATTTTTTTCATGTTCCTGGTATCTTACCTTACTTGAAAATTTTCTCTGGGGCGCGAGTTCTGGCGCATCCCGTATTATTAAAAAATTTGCAATATTATTTTAATAAACTTTTGAATTTTGTTATTGATAGAAAATACACATACTTACCCAAAATATAATGTATAAGTTATAATACATAAAAATAATCAATTTTAAATTTAAAATTTAATGTAAACGTAATTTTTTAGCTTTTATTAATACTTAGTATATACAGCCATTATTACAGGCTAGAGCAAAAGAAGTTGCCTACCTATTGATTGTTAATTTTGTTGTAGCTTTCTTCTTTATAGTGTCATATTCTCATATTATTATTGTAGTGAGAATTACGGGTTTTAACTCATGTTTTGACTTAATAAATTGGTTTTCATTGGTTCTGTTTATTTTAAAATGTATTTTTCAAACAGTACGTTTTTTTTTAGAAAAATATTTTTAATAAGTTTTTTTTTCATAGTGCTTCTGAAAAATCCAAAAATTGTATAAAAGTTAATACTTTTTTAAAAGATTTAGTTATTAATCCTTTTGTTTCCGTAGACTTTATTACAAAGAGCTTGCGATGTGCTACAATTTATTTATCACATGGCCAGTTATTATTATTCTTTATTTCAGTTGGTCTTTTAGAGTGGCACTGTGCAAAAAATATCGGATACAACACGTTTAGAGAGTCTCTTTTTTTACTCATTTGCTTAATTAACTCGGATTACGCCTTAGTTAATCAAACTGCAAATTCATAAAAAAAGTATGACTTTCTAAACTAGTTGTACAAATTAATATCTACTTATTCACTACCTTTTAAGGTACTGTCTTTGTTATATTAACAACAACATTTGTGTTAAATCAAAATCAATTATTGACAAAAATTAGTGTTAAAGTTAAAAAATGTTAAAATGTGAACTGAATTTTTTGTTGTTTTTTGAAATCAATTAATGTGGAAACCGTTTTAAAAATTGAAAGGAGAAAATTTTTCTATAAGTTTTAATAAAGTTTAAACGTTTTGGAGTTTTTGGCCGTCTTGTATAATTAAGAAAGAGAGAAAACGTTTTTCCAAATTGTTTATATTGACTATTTCAATACTTTAAACAATTTGGGCCAGCATTTTCTCTTTTTCTTAATCAAAACAACCCCCAAATAAGGAGAATATACAAAATCAGTCTTGTAAGGTCTTGTTTTCTCTTGTCTTGTCTTTGACGAAGTAAGAATAAGACTTTTGTTCAACATTTTGTGCACTAGAATTCTTGTATAATTAGACAAGAAGTCAAATTAATAATAATAATTACAGGCGCCTCATTCTAAAAGGGGCGACGAGACTATATCACAAACATTAAAATTTAATTTACCTACTTATTCTTACTTCATTAAACATTTACACAAGACAGCCATGAAACCATGAAAACCATGAAACTTTTTTTATCGAAAATTTTCAACTTTTCAGAGAACAGTTTACATTACACATGTATACAAAGTAATTCATCTCAGTTCCGGTCTTCTGCAGCTCAGTTATTACTTATTATTTAAGTGGGAATTTTGATGTTTTGTAGACTTTATTTATATTCTAGAGTGCATTTTAAGAAAATATTTTTTATTGTACAGAATAGCTTAAAAATAAGTTACAATACAAACTTATGTTTTTTTTAAATGAAACACAATATGGTTCTTGGCATTTTTGAATGCAGCTTTTAATTTCAATGTTTTTCTTCTATTAGTCGATTTTGCTTACTTATTGAAATAAGTTGTCCTTTTTTTAAAAATTTATTAAACACAAAGTTAAGACATCTGGAAAAAAATTTTTTACCACTGTAAAGAGGAACTTTACGAACTTTAAGACTATAACATTTTTTTTTAATGTCGAAGTTTGTTAAAAGTTAAATAACTTAAAAAATTTAAGTGGAATACCCTATTTTTTATTTTGGCATTGAAACCTTAAAAATCAAATTTGGAGAAAAAATTTAAATTAACTGGAATATTTTCTACATCATAAAATTGTTTGATTTTTTTCTGTGGTATTTGTAAAAATAGAATAATAAAAAATATGGAAATACTGAAACTTGGGACAAATTCACAACTTTCAATATTAAAATGTTAATTACTCCAAATCGAGCTCAAAATCTATTAACTTTTACATTATCCAATTTTTATAGATCAGAAAAAATCAAGGAATTTCATGATGTAGAAAAGATTCCAATTGATTAAAAAAAATCTTGAAATTTGGTTTTCAGGATCTCACTGACGTACGCTAAAAATTTTGAACAATATCAAAGCATCAAATTGAAGTCTACATAATCCTCTATCGTTTGCGTTAGAATTTTTTTAATCAACTAGAGATCACTTCCTTATTAGTTTTCGGGTTGGGAGGTGGCCATAAACTGTCACATTACATATCAACTGATAAGGAAGTGACCACTTCTCAACCTGAACTGCATATTTCAAATCAATTGTTAAATGAAGTTGAAATGTGATATTTTCCAACTTTTTACATGTAAATTATTTAATTTGATTATAACTTTATGATTGTGAATAGGTGAATTAATAATTTTGCTGTTCTGATAAAAAAAAATTGAAAGTGTTATACCTAGGTATCGTTAAAAAATTGTGCAAAGGTGTTTTTAATCTTCTTAGGTAAACCATCTTTGTATGGATGCGAATAAACTTAGTATGAGACGATAGGTACATTGTTTCCATAGAAGGTATGCTATGAGCTATATTAATCACTCCTTTACATTACTTTGGAAATAAAAAATACAGGCTGATTCAAAAATGTCGGACCAATTCTCGAATGGTGATATGAGACTTTCAGCTAAGCATAAAAATGAATGCAGATTTTTGTTTGAGAAAAAAAACAAAACTGTCAATTTTCATATTATCATGTAGGCATCTTAGATATTTGTTTCCGATGTTGTTAAATTTAATTTATTGTTGAATTTGCTACTTTGTTAAATGTTTTTTACACCATAACACACAAATTGGTGATTTTTTCAACAGGTATCTGTTCAGTCTTACAAGATCTGTCGTTTCCGCTAACTAAATTCAAGATTACAGAATCGGAACATCCAAAAACTTAATCCAAAATTTAATCTTTGTTAGCTACATCTAGTGAAAAAAGACTCAAATAATTTTATGTTATGGGAACTTTTAACTCAGTTGGATGCCCTTTATCGACCCCCCCCCCCTTTATTTTGAATCATCCTGTATATCCTCATCAAAACGTAGACTTTTTTTAAATTGTGCAAACCTCTAACTGACTTACCCAGTGCGAAACCCAATAATTATTCAAAATAGCAGGAGCAAGTGTTCTCGCAGGATTAATATGACCCCCTGTGTACGGCCCCTGCAAATTTTCTCAAATATAACCCCTTTTAGCCCCATTTTTGTGTATACCGCAGCAATAGCAATGCCTGTCACAGCTAGACCAACTCGAAGCGCTGTAGAGTCAGTCTTGGTTTTATTTTTAGCATCCCAGACAGCACAAATTATCATGACTAGGATGAAACTCATCAAAAGCTCCATAACAAGACCATTTTCATCTCTGATATGCATAACACCAGAGCAAACACCAGCAGAGTCGGAGGCTGCTTTTTCCGAAGTACTTAGTGCTAACACATGCACGTATTTAACAGGTATCAACAGCTAAGAATATGTAAAGTGTGCAATTTGCTAAAACGACGTAATTTTATCATACTTTCAAAAGTCCAAAGCCACCAAGTGCTCCCAGAAATTGGCCCAAAAAGAAAAACAACGAATCTACAATTGGGACATATCCCACAATTATGCCAGCTAGAGTTAAGAGAGGATTAACATGCCCCCCTGAAATGTGCCCAAAACACTGATAATCAGGTTAGTTTTCGTGCATTATTTAGTGACAATTTCTACCTGAATGGCAATCATGATGGCTAAACCAAAAGCAAAAGAACCGTGCAATAAATCGTCTATTCCTTTGACTCCAATCCCCGATGGAAATCTGTAAGTGCATCCCAAACACCCTATAAATAATAAAATTGCAGTTCCGAAAAATTCAGCAAGGGCAATTGTGATTTTGTCCACAACAGAAGAATTCCCTGAGACTCGTATTTTTTCCCCTAAAACATGTTCTTACAAATAAGATGGACCTTTTAAATTTCTTACAAAATTTCAAATGCATTTTTGGACAGAAAAGAAGGTAAAACCTGTTGTAACATGAGTTTTTGACAGATAGGTGAAGTTACTGACATTTGTGGAGGATGATTTGATTAAAAAAAAATGTGGTGAAGAGCCACGAAAAATTCTAGATTCTTCTAATTAGACTGAAACAAAATGCTTACTTATATAGAATCAGTAAGAGAAAGTAAAGAAAAGTGAAAGAGGACCCATAAAAATTACGTCAATACATAATTTATTTATTTTTTTACACGTAAAAACATTTTGCTAAATTAATAAACTATTGAAATGTTCATGAAGTCTTGGAATCTTTGCTGTAAAGAATACTGTAAAGTAACGAAGCCAGAAGACATCCAGTTAAAGGTCCAACCCAAAAAATCTGTAAATTGTGGAAGAATATATTTTGTACTAAATATACCGGGTGTTTAGGAAAAAAAACGTTGAAAGATTTTGCAAGCTGGTTCTCCAAAATGAAAAGCAAGATAATAAAATAAGAAGAAAAGGGTGGAAGCACTGAAGTCAATCTTAAAATTTTGCTTTGGAAGAAGTTTTTAGAAATTTTTTTCAGATTCGAATTTATTCGCTAATTTTCTTCAAAAAATGTCTTATGTTATTTGTGTACGACGTGTGACGTACCGTTTAAAAAAAAACATTTTTTTCCTCAACCGTGCACCGACCGTAATTTGGAAAAGTGGATTTTTTCATATAAAGTCGATTTATCACTTTAGTGTCCTTATGAAGCACTTCCAGACATGAGTACATAGGAACTTTTTTCTTATTTTGGCCTAGGAAACCATCCCCCAAAATCTTCCAACCCGGTACAACTAAGTATACAGGATGTTCCATTTTTATTGTTACAAATTTAACCATATAATAGAATATTCAATTATAGGATAAAAGTTTCCTATAAACATACATACAGGGTGTTTACAGTCTTGGAGTTGAAATTTGACCTAGTAATAGAAGAGTACAGAAATACTGTAATCGAGGACAAAACACAAAACTCACACAATAGTTATTATCAAGAATGTTATTTAACTCCAAAATATTGGTACACGGTTTGAGGGTCACTGGAATTATTTCCTTGTTTAGATAAAATTGTATTTTTGCAACAGATTAAAAAATCGTATCCATGACAATGAAGGAGAAAAGTCACTTCATAGTTGTGACACTGTCATCATTTGATTTGCTTTTGCTTTAGTTCTTATCAAAATTCGAAGATCTTCTGTTCAATCTCTTTCAGCGAATGGTTTCCAATAGGTTTGATTCGTTTTTCTTAATTTTGCTCCAAATTTATGAACATGTATGGCAAAATATTAAAATAATAAATTGGTTGTCGTGATTATGATTTACGGTGAAACACAAGGTAATCATACTAATGGCCATTGTTGCAGCCGAAGCTGCAGTTCTCAAACAAATAGTGTAAAATCAATAATTTCCTTTAATAACGTGAATTTTTGTTTTATATAGCGTATTAGTTTTCTTTTACCGTGAATATCATCTCATTTAAATTTCAACCTCATCCCCGTAAACACCCTGTATATCGAAAAATTTAATATAATGCTGAAAGGGGTGCATCTTTTAATGGATTTTTTCCAATATTTCAGAAACCATCCTGGATAAAATTACAAAATTTGCTACAATTGTTAACCTTCATACACTCAAATGAATTCAAAAAACTGGGGGGTATAGGTTAAAAAAATACCGTAACTATTTTGGCGGTAGGTTTTTGCCACTTTCAGCCACAAAATTCTAAATTTCATAGTTTTTCACAAAAAAGAGGTCTCTTGCGTTTTTTTGATAAAACCTACCGTTTTTAAGTAAAATCAGTTTCCTTGTCTATAAAGAGGATACAAAGTAAAAATTAAATTTGTTTCACCGTTTAAGAAACCCGTGATTAAAAATTTCGACAACTGATCTTTAAATAAATAAAACCCCATTAAAAACGCATCTCTTTCAAGGGGTGTAGCTCACTTACGAAACATGTTTTGATACATGTTCATAGAAAACTTTTGTCTTAAAATTGAATATTCTATCACCTGTTTAAGTTTGTAACAATAAAAACGGAACACCCCGTATGTCCCCGCATTGAGTTTAAAATTGTTATCTTTGATTTTATGTTAAAACTTTAAAGGAATCATATTTTTTGCTTAACATGATAGGAGCAAATCTGTAATTATTTATTATTCTGATTCAGTAGGAAGAAAAGTTATTTTTTTTCTTGATTTTGGACTTAATAATAATTTTTCTCTGCTTCTTAAATCTCATCACATTGGCGGTTTTATTTTTTTGACAACGATGTCACTCTGAAAATTAATTAATTGATTGAATAAGGATTGTTCTTGCTAAAAATGACTTTGCATTTTGTATCTTAAATCTGTTTTTTTTTTAAGTTTCCATTTATTAAAGTTATGTTCTTATTTAACTTGCGTAAACTTATTAGTGACATCGTTGTCAAAAAAATAAAACCGCCAAAGTGATGGGATTTAAAACGCAGAGAAATATAATTATACAGGGTGTTCCGTTTTTGTTGTTACAAAATTTGAACAGAAGATAAAATATTCAATTTTAAGACAAAAGTTTCCTATGAACATGTATCGAAAGATGTTACGCACGAGAGCAACACCCCCTAAAAGGAGTGCGTTTTTTAAAGAGTTTTTCCAAATCTCAAAATGGATTAAAATTACAAAATCTGGTACAGCTGATAACTTTTATATGTACACCTAAACAAATTCCAAGATCAAATGTCGAAACGTTTGTCTTAAAACTGAATATTCTATTATCAATTTAAATTTGTAACAATTAAAACAAAACACCCTGTAGGTAAGTGCAAAATCAAGAAAAAAATGAACTTTTCTTTCACTGAGTCAGAATAATAAAGTTTTAATTGTAGATTTGTTCATTTTAGGTGAAGCAAAAAATGTTTTTTCTTTTCAGTTTTGATGTAAAATCAAAGAAAAATTTTTTCCTCTTGTAAACTTAATCCGGAGACTTACTGTAGAATAAAAGTATATTAAAGTAAAAAACATAACCCACATATTTATAATACAAATTTTAAAATTAGTACTAACCCAGTGGTAATCCCAATATCCATTTAGAACTGCGGGTCCTAATGTTCTTGCTGGATTCATATGGGCTGCAGTATATGGACCCTGGAAATCAAGAATTTAGAATTAATTATTAGAACTGTTAATAATTTTGAAATTTCATTTTTTATTTCTTGTTTTTTTTCCTACTTGTAGACTTTTTTACGTATTAAAAATAAAACAGAATAGTTTGAATCCAGATTTTAAAACAAAAAGAAAAAAATGAGAATTTCGCTTTTACAGAAAATTATCACTTGTCAACCCTTGATAATTTTTTTATAAATAGTGCTAATTGATATAAAAAAATAAACTCACTGCAGCAATTACGATCGATGCGACCCCAAATCCAAATTTCATAGAAACGCTTTCTGAATTATTTTCGTTTCTCTCATCCCAAACTGAACAAGCAATTGTTACCAAAATAAAGGAAATCAAAACTTCTACAAATAATCCTTGCAGTGGTGTCAAGTCCGAATTTAGTCCTACTGCACAAATCCCTGCTTGCTTTGCTCCGGGAACATTTCCAAAAATATAATCATCTAGGAGCAGCAACTAGAAACAAAAAATTACATCCTTAAATTTCGTCAAAAAAAACAACTCACTCTGACAAGACCAAAACCAGCAAATGATCCCAAAAATTGCCCAATTAAGTAAACTGGAACTTCAATAAGAGGAAGTACTCCAACAATAAATGCGCCGAGGGTTATGATGGGGTTTATATGGCATCCCGAAATGTGGCCAAAACACTGAAAATTTAAATTAATTTTCCTTCTTAAAGATTTTCTATCACTTGTATGGCCATTAAAATGGAAAAGCCAAATGCAATCCCACTCTGGAATAAGGGTCTTGGTATTGCTGGACTTGAGGCATAATGTGCACATCCTAGGCAGCCCACAAACATCAAAATGGCAGTACCAAAAAATTCGGCGAGGCCTAGGGTCAGTCTGTCTAAAGCCGTTAAGTCATCTTTAATCTTAAATTTTTGCCCTAGGAAAACAAGTATAGATCATGGAAATCCGTATTTTAAATAAACCATTACAAAATTTAAAATTCATTTCAGTCTATTGAAGAAGATTGCTAAAAGTTGTGGTTTTAGAGTTTAAATTTAAATAATTGTCAATATTGTCAGTGTCAAACTATGGCGTCAGAGTTTTAAACAATTTTGACAAAAATCTTCTATAATGACCATTTTGTGTAACTGAAAACAGTTGTGTAAAACGCAATTGTGTGACACTGTTCTTTTGGCGACATTTTATGCAATATTTTGGCCATCACGAGCCAAACCGGCGTTTTTAAGTGAGAATTTGTTACAGTTCAACGTATTTTACCGAAACTAATGCATTTTAAGCTATTTTGGAGCAATTTGGGTATACGGCATAAGTCAAATTGTATAAAAAACGCGTCTTGCTATTTCTCATTGTGATACTGTGCATTTGTAACACAATGAGACTATTTTTAACACTGTTTTTTTTTAATATACTATTTTGACTATTTTTATTGAAATTATATGCATTATTTGCATATTTACTATAATATTAATATTTATCAGCATTTTTTATAATATAGAGTTTTTATTTATTTATAAATTCATTTACACTTTTTATAACCAACGGTACAAGAAAAAAATGCTTGAAGTCTTTTCTAGCAACTTTTTGAAAGTTGATTTAAACTACATTTTTCTTTTCAAAGACAAAATCTATAATTAATTAATTTAATTATTTAAATAGATGTCTTAACTAAGTAGTACGTTAATATTTTCTTAATAAAAACCATTTTAATTATATCTGATATTTTCAGTAAAATGTATACAGGTGCGCCAGAACTCGCGCCCAAGAAAAATATGCCATATAAGGTAAGATACCAGGAACATGGAAAAAATGTAAAAAAAAATATCTATAAAAAATTCGAAGTTATGAGGGTTTAAAGTTTACACTTTGACTTTATTTATTTCTGTTGGAAAAATGTTTTGCCAAGTTTTTTGCTATAGGCTATTAAAAGAGGAAACAAGGAAGTTGTATCCTAAATTGTAACTCTGTTCAATGTTATTTGTGGTTTTCATTGGCAAAATTTTTGATCCTTTACTAAATAATTGTAAAAAAACATATACAAGAGATGATGAGTATCATACTAATGAGTATCATTAAATATATATATAAAAAATGTCAAATGTCAAAAAATAAATGTCAAAATTTTTTGACATAGAATTTTTTAAATATTTTTTTCATGTTCCTAGTATCTACCTTATTTGAAAATCTTCTCTGGGGCGCGAGTTCTGGCGCACCCTGTATAGGTATTTATTTATTTGTCTAAACTAGCGTCTATTTTGTAGGATTTTAGCATTTACTATTTCATATCGAAAAATTCACAATTTAGTTTTAAAAATTCTTCAGTACATATTATTTGTATCAAATTACAGTTTAATTACACGTTTTCTTTAAAAAAAAATGTTTTTTTTTACAAATTTTAAAAAGAAAAATTAATAATTTTGCCAAAAAAC